TAGGCGTCGGTGTAGGTACTGAGTAACGGACTGCGCTTTTTACAAAATATAGATATCAATGATTTAGATAATTTTTTAAACTCTAAACCATCAGTTTAGAAAATGGGAAAAGTTGATTAAAAATTTAATAATCACAAAATTGATGTATTTCTTAATAATGCATCGTAAACATGACTCATTTTTAAGACAAACAGAAGTTGTTTTTGTAATGGTACTATCAATAGTTTACCTACTAGTAATGAAAAGAAAAAATTTACTGAAAGTATCTATGTACATCTACAGGCACATGCTGATGTTCATGTTGCATCGTGAAGATAAGGAAATGGTTAAAGCTAGTTATGAGAGTTGTGGCGAGTTGTGAGTTTGGCAATATTTGGATTAAAATTTAGCATATTGAAATTTGCTTCATTTTTTAAAAGGGTTTACGCTTAAATGTAGAAACAGTTGTTATGACATTGACGACATTAATTATACAGACCCACAACCCGTTTGACCTTGTCAAGTCAGGTTAAAGGTCATTTCAAGATCATACCGAGAAAAATCCTCTATGGTGGAGGCAACCAACCATGGTTAGCCGAGGTCTGTTTGGCCTGGTTAGGTCAGGTTCAAGGTCATTATAAGATCATTCCACGGTCAAACTGAGAAAAATCTACTTTAGCGAGGGCAACCAAAGTAATTAATTTTTCGGGTCGCTGAGTCCAAATTAGGGTTCCTTTTGTCTCTACGGGGTCCATGATCAATGTCATTTTGAGGTTAAATTAAGTAACTTCTAAATAGGGTTTAGTGAGAATACTCCAGGTTTTTTTGGTCGCTTTATTAGGACTCCATTGATCTTGCTGCGTCAGGGTCAATGTTGTTTGAAAGCTAATTAATTCTAATATCTATTAATTGGCTTGTCTTACAAAGCAATTTTTATCTCACTCATCTATAAGGAAGCGAAAGACTCTCAACATTCACTAGTCTTCACATTAGCATGATCTTTTTCAATCACATTTGAAAATCCGACACTATAATTTTATACAGCCTTATTTGTTACTAACACTTTCATCCTTCGCGGTAAAAAGGTTCTGGATAGTTGCCGTGCTTGAAGTTGAGGGAGAAGTTTGGTAGACAATTGAGTGCGTTATATGGTACATGTCAACAATTCAGTTTCTATGGTGAAAGATAGGTTTCACATTCTATTAATGATAAATTTTTTTATACGTTTTATTCGTACGTAATGAAATTTTTACATGTAGACTGCCCGTATATCTCTGCAATAATGGACATACAATATTTTTACGATCAAGCATAACGTCATTAAAATCATCAATCATCTAAGTAAAAGCCTCATTTCTATGATGGTTCTAATAGAGCTTTTACAATACTGCTACTATGAACGATACTGGAAACGATGACAACTGCTGCGAAAGGAGATTTATAGAATGATTCGCTTCTCGGTATGACCTTGAAATGACCTTTAACCTGACCTGACAAGGTCAAACGGACCTCGGATTCGGACTCAGCAACCCCAAAAACAAATATTAACCATAGTTGCCTCCACCATAGTGTATTTTTCTGATTTGACCTTAAAATGACATTTAACTTGACCTGACAAGGTCAAACGGACCTCGGTTTCGGACTTAGCGATCTCGAAAACATAAGGAGATAGTGGTCTAGTTCGATGCACAGATTTGTTCTTTTTTTGTGGGGCTGGGTTATAAATGGGGCTGAGATACACTCTATAAAGTATGCCATATCTTAAATGTCGTTGCTACTAAAAGACTACTAGCCAAGCATTACTTTCTTTTGTACTAACTGGCGGATATATGACATACTCCGACGGTTATATCACAAACACACTCAAAACGTATCAGTAGATAGACACTTAAGCAGCTAATTCTTTCATTGATTGCTTCATCTATAGCATACTGATGAGAGCTAATAAATTCGAAACTGGTCTATGTCTGGTGATACTGCCGACGAATAATGTAGCCCGCAGTTGTTTGCCACAATATCAAAATGATTTACAAAATAGAAACAATATTAAAATATTAAGATTTTTTTTATAAATTTTACTTATAGTAGTTATAGTCTAAGTTCTAAGAGATTGGTGTCAAAATCCCCCGTGATCGGATTAATGGCCAATTTTGTTTTTAATGTGTTGGTCGTATGTTGTATAACAGGGTTTCAGAGTTTGCTGACACCCCTTGTGGGTCAGGGGTTGGGGGTGCGGGGGTAAATACGAAAATCGCCCCGTGATCAGATTAATATCAGCAACTCATAATATATATTCTAGACCTTCGGGGGAGTACGAAAATGAAAGTTGCTGACAACCAGTTGGAGCAGAGACGTTTAAAACGGGGTCAAATGTATCACTTACCGAGCGCGCAAACTGTATGCGTAGTCCTGTATCTGTTTCAGGTTGGGTAAAACGCATTTGATCGGAGATTTTTGCTTTAACGGCTTCCAAATAACATCAAAAATAATAAATTTTCTATGCAAATAAAAAAAAACGTGGGCTTAATTGTTATTGCAAAAAAGTATAAAAAATAGCAAAAAAATTAATTTTTTTCTTGGATTTCTCGTCGACAACTTAGCAACTATTCATTTTAGACAAAAATGGAAGAGGAAAAAAGTTTTGTAATTAAATTTTGATCAAGATAGAGTTAGTTGCAATTCGAAAAAATAATTATTGTTATTGCAAAAATCGGAAAAATCATTTAAAAAATTGCAAAAAATGCTAGTTTATTTGTCAATTTTTTTCAGACACTTGAATAATACCTAGGATCTTCATACTTTTCCCAATTAAACTTCTTAGTGCATAGAATCATCACACCAAATTTCATCCAATTCGGTTCGATAGTTTTTACATAATAATTGTTTAATTTTTTTTATTTTTTTTAAATTAAAAAATTTTCAAAATCAAATTTCTAAAAATCTAAAGCCTTTGAATACTTGAAAATTTCACCACAAAAAGAAGAGCTCTCAAGCTTTAAAATGGTTTTTGAAAAATTCAAATCGGACGATTAGGTGAGCCGTGGTGATTGTTTAAACATTTTCGCAATTTTCACGCTTATAAACAATTGCAATAATTTAATGTTTTTTTCAATTTTTTTTTTTTTAAAATATGGTTTGAAAATACTCGGAAAGATGAGTATTTAAAAAAAAACCTGATGATCCGCCCATTATTTTCGGAGTTATAGCCCGTTAAAGTTAACCCTTATTTACAGCAAAACTATAAGGGTATAAGGGCTGTTTTTTGAACTAATAGGTTTGTCATTCCGAGTACTTTCCAGATATAAATTTTCAAAATTTGCAATCACGGGCGTCCCATTTAAAATGTCACTCAAAGATATTCAAGACCGCGTGAAATCAATGAGGTATCAGTGGTGGGGGGAGCAAACACACAGCTACTCCGATCTGAATTCTCGAGTTCAAAACTGCGACGCTCGGAAAAATTTCACTTATCTCAGCTTCTAATGGACCAATTTCGATGATTTTTTTTTAAATCGATGTCTCGCAACTTAAAAAATTCAATTATCATATTTTCAACTACCTTTTATTATTAATTATTGGACTTTTGACATGCCGATAAACAGTTACTTTAAAAAATGATTAATTTATTATGTTTATTTATTTACTATGTTAATATTCACGACCAAAATTTTTGCATGTTGCACCAGGTAATACTAGTAAGTTTGTTTAAATATTATAAAATTGTTTAAACAATAATTATTTAAATAAACAACTGAAAATTGGTATTAATTTTTAGTTGTACGATAAATTTCTAAAAATCTTTCAAAAAAAATAAATTGTGAATAATTATAATTTTAATTTTTTCGTTTACTTTTAAAATATTTATCTAAAATTTATTTTTTATTTATATATAAAAAAGTATAAGAATCTTTTGGATATTTCAATAAACAGCACACTTTTCATGATTTTTCAAATTTTAAACTATTTATTTAAATTTTTATTTACATTTAATCTACTAAAACATTAAATTAAGTATTGCAATCGTTTATAAGCGTGAAAATTGCGAAAATGTTTAAACAATCACCACGGCTCACCTAATCGTCCTACTTGAATTTTTTAAAAATCATTTTAAAGCTTGAGCTAAATTTTCAAGTATTTAAAGGCTTTAGATTTTTAGAAAATTGATTTTGAAAATTTTTTAATTAAAAAAAAAATTTAAACAATTATTACGTAAAAACTATCGAACCGAATTGGATGAAATTTGGTGTAATGATTGTATGCAGTAAGAAGTTTAATTGGGAAAAGTATGAAGATTCTAGGTATTATTCAAGTGTGTGAAAAAAATTGACAAATTAACGCACTTTTTGCCATTTTTTAAATGATTATTCCGATCTTTGCAATAACAATATTTATTTTTTGGAATTGCAACTAACTCTGTATTGATCAAAATTTAATTACAAAACTTTTTTTCCTCTTCCATTATTGTCTAAAATGAATAGTTGCGAAGTTGTCGACGAGAAATCCAAGAAAAAAATTTTTTTTTTGCTATTTTTTATACTTTTTTGCAATAACAATTAAGCCCACGTTTTTTTTTATTTGCATAGAAAAATTATCATTTCTGATATTATTTAGAAGCCGTTAAAGCAAAAATATCCGATCATATGCGTTTTACCCAACCCGAAACAGATACCGTCTGGACTACGCATACAGTTTGCGCGCTCAGTAAGTGATACATTTGACCCCATTTTAGACGCCCCTGCCCCAACTAGGCTGTCAGCAACTTTCATTTTCGTACTCCCCCGAAGGTCTAGAATATATATTGTGAGTTGCTGACATTAATCTGATCACGGGGCAATTTTCGTATTTATCCCCGCAGCCCCAACCCCTGCCCCACAAGGGGTGTCAGCAAACTATGAAATCCTGTTATACAACATACGACCAACACATTAAAAACAAAATTGGCCATTAATCCGATCACGGGAGATTTTGACACCAATCTCTCCGTCTATTAAGATGTATTTGCTCTGCAGTAGTCTTCTTACCTCTTTCTTAAAGCCAATTCTGTGTTCTTACTCAACGGTGCAGCTCCACAAGCGACTTCTTCAACACAAGATAGGTCATAATTTAATATTTTCGGACTTTTTTCCATAAAAACAGCTAAGGGGGGCGCTAGAGCCAACATTGTAATTTCATAGTCTTGGATAGATTTTAAGAAGACATCCTCATCGAATCTTTTTAACACCACTAATTTGTTACCATTAGCTATAGCGTCGAGTCCAACATTTAATCCATATGAATGAAAAAAAGGCATTAACCCAAGAATGTTTTTTGAAGAAAGGGAATACCTAGGATCTCTGAAACAAAACCTAAAATTATAGCGAAAACAGTACCTACATAGTACATGTAAAGTGCTATATTTTTCTTTTTTTTTTCTCTTCCCGAAAGTGTCAAAGTTATGTCATTTAATGTGATATTAAGATACTCTTACCTTGATTGCAATAATCTGGTCAATATACTCCTATGTGAGATCAACACCCCTTTAGGCAACCCAGTAGTACCAGAAGAACATAATATAAAAGCACCGAGTTTTGCTGCATCACCAATTATGGGCTGAAATTTTTGAGGTGAAACGGTTTTCCCTCTCAAGGATCTTTTCACGAAGAGTTTCAAACTTTCTGTTCCTAGAACTGATTCATTGGAATCAATTATAACTATGTCTTCCAGAAAACCCAACAACTTTTTTAAATGGAGCAATTTAAATGAAACGTTTTTGGAACAGAAAATAACTTTAGGTTTGCCAATATTTAAGATATGTTTCATCTCGTTCTCGGTGTAGTTATGATTGACAGGAAACATTATGCAACCAACGAAAAGGGCTGCTAGGACAGGAATGTAAAACTCCAAATTATTTTCACTACATACTGACATAACTGTGTTCATTTCGTAGCCACGAGAACGCAGAGCTTCGGCTAATTCGCAGGATATCTGTAGTAGCGATTTATAAGAAATTGTCCTCCCAGTGAACACATCGATCTGAAATATATTATATATAACTTAACATTTTGTCTTGAAGATATTTTAAAAAATATACAAAGCCTCCAAAATATTTGTTTAAACGTGCCTAATGTTAGGTAGTATTGTATTGTATTTTTGTCTAAAATATTTACTTTTTTATAACGGTCAAATAAATTCAACAGATTTTTTCCTATAAAAATCTCATTAAATCAAGTCAAATAGTATTCTTTGATACCAGAAATCTGCAAAAAGTATCTAACCCCACAGACAAGACTCCTAACTGCTGATATTGTGGGAAACAACTAGATACTCTATGGACTAAATGACTCAACTAACATTGAATTACACCAACAATATCTAGTAAATAGCTAGTAATTAATAATTATCCAAAAGAAAAATAAAAACAAAGTATCCAAATAATTAATACAAAATTACATACATAGTGAAACTATTGAATTATGCATGCTTCCAAATATCTTTTTGTTGTTCTAACGTCACCAGCATGTGAAAAATAACTATTATTACAATAATATATGGCATTTCTTTGAAAAATTACATTATTTAACAATTTTACTATGTTAGGTACGTGTTTTGTTTATTGATTGAATACCTAGACATGTAATTTTTTAATTTTATTTTAAATAATTATTAATTACTGGATGTTTACTAGGTATTACTGGTATAATTAAATAATATTCCAATGCAATTAGGCATGTAACACATTGAGTAGTTGTTTCCTGCAATATCAAATGTTAGGAGGTTTAACTTTTACATACGATAACTTTTGATTTAAATTGATAATATTTTTATAGGAATTTTTAAAATTTGTGAATATTGAATTGGCTTAATACGTTTAGAATAAACAATGTTAGAGCTAATAGTTAGTTACAAGGATCCATGGCTCATTTTCATTGTATTTTTCGTTAAATGTTGTAAATTGACTTGAAAATTGTTTTTAAATAATGTGACTATACTTATAGTTGTTTTTTAAATTTAGTTATTGTACGAAAATTTTAACAATGCTCTTAAATCTCTCATTTTGAAGGTCTTTTAAAGTTAATCTCAGGTTATATGTCTTGAGAAAGGAAATAAACATTTCCGAAAGCTTGACAACAAACACAGAGTGTTCTTATTATACTAGCTCTTAGCACTGTTGACTGCAATCCAAATACATCACTCTTTTTTTCTTAACTAGTCAGTCAAGACTACACATAATATAAATATAAATTTATTTATTTAAAATATTTACGTTTATGTCACACTTTTCTTATCATTTCTTTCTTATTATTATTTCGGTGAAAACTTCTACTGCACCGAAAATATATATATTTTTATTTTTTTAAAGTTTTTGTTTGCAAAAACAAAAAAAAACAAAAAATCTTTGATTTGAGGATTTCTGGAAAATTTGAACTTTCTATAATAATCGAGACATCCGAAATGTGTACTGCGCTTAGTCAATATTCCTAATATTTTCATGATTTTGGACTAGGCATTTTTCGAAAAAAACTAAAGATATGCCAAAGTTTTAGTTGGAAAAGCTCCGAGTTAGAAAGACATTGGCGGCGTGGCGTTCACCGTAATAACTTGCAGTGCATGCTTACAGTTACAAGGGTGTGTTTCTTTATAAGTGTAGTGTACTAAGCTTTTTCAGTGTTATTAAAATAAATAAATGGAGGTGAAAAATAAAAGGAAGGAATTTAATACCCGCTGTAAATTGTTCCGATAATATAACTTTATTGGCTTATTCTCTTCATTGAATTCTATCTCAAAAATATTGTACGGACTTTATATATTTTATGGTAAGTTCCATGTGGCCCGTTTAGTGTACAAGAATAGACACTGTCGCTTTTTGTTTCATACTGTTATGCAAATACTTACATATACAGGGTAGCCCATCGAAAACGTACCGCAAGGCATTACAGGGTAGTAAAGAACTTTTCGGCAAAATCCAAAAACAGGTCAAATTTGTTTCTGAGGGGGACAACTTTTGGCTCAAAAAGCATACCAAAATCTTCAACCCCCTAAGTGGGGGTGCTATCCCCTAAATTTTTTCAAATGGGAATGGGGGTCAAGTGGGGGGTCATTAGAAAGGGCTTTTAATTCTCTATACATCGATTCTTACTTTTTGAAAATCGATTCATTATTTTAGAAAATATGCAGCTTTGAAAATACGAACAATATTTTTGACGAGAAATGCGAAAATCGATTTAATTTTACTTCAAAACTTACGGTATTAGTCAAGTAAATGCTGAAAATGTTGTCCGCCAACTTGCATACAATGATACAGGTTGTCTTCAAACCGTTGTCGAACATTCTGGAGCACTTGCGGTGTTACTTCGCGACATACATTAATGATTCGTCCTCGCAGATCTTCCAAGGTATCAGGTGGAGTGCTGTAAACTTTGCTTTTAATGTGCCCCCAGAGAAAGAAATCTAAAGGATTTAAGTCGGGTGACCGAGGGGGCCACTCAATTGCACCTCTTCGTCCTATCCAGCGTCCTGGAAACGTCTCATTTAGGTAATTGCGCACATTGAGCGAGTAATGTGGAGGAGCTCCGTCTTGCTGGAAAATCAGTTCGTGTTCATTGTAAGCAGGGTCGTCCTCTATGATATTTGTTAGAGCTGGGTCGATGACATTTTGTAGTAAATCCAAGTACATATCGCCTGTCAAATTTCCAGGAAGGAAAAAAGGACCTACAATGGAATTTCCAAAAATACCTGCCCATACATTCAACTTCTGGGGGTGTTGGGAGTGTGTCTCATGGAAAATCCTTGGATTGGTATCAGCCCAGTAACGACAATTATGGCGATTCACTAAACCATTCAAGAAGAACGTACACTCGTCCGAAAAACACACATTAAAGAGGAAATTATCGTTTATCGCTCGTTCAGTCATTATTTCGCAAAATTGCAAACGACGATCAAAATCGTCTTCATTTAGCTCTTGCACTAGCCGAATCTTATAAGGATGGAATTTGTATTTTTTTAATATTCGTTGGACACTTGTACGACTCACTCCTGTCGCAGTAGCCAATTGCATTGTACTCAGCGTACTATCCATTGCCACTTGCCCCAATACCGCTATTTCCGTAGGTTCATTTAGTACCGGATTTTCAACCTGCCTCTTTTTGTTATGAACGGAGCCAGTTTCGCGAAATTTGGCCACCAATTCGCGAACAATTTTTCCAGACGCATGTTTCTCAGGATGCCGTTGGTTGAACAGTTCGGCGACCCGATTTCCGCATTCATTGTTTTTGAAAAAAAGCTCAATAATTTCTACTCTTTCTGGAATTGAGTACACCATAATTAATCAATTTAAAAGACTCGGCAGTATTGGTACTCTTCAACTACAAGTCACAAGACAGTTATCTAGCAACTTCTTGTGGCCTATCTAAATACGAAACAAAAAGCGGACAATTTTTTGCTCACCAAAATCAGGCTAAAGAATTCGCAAATCAGAAAAAAAAAAGCGAATTCTTTTGAAGGAATTTACCAAGCTAATACCGTAAGTTTTGAAGTAAAATTAAATCGATTTTCGCATTTCTCGTCAAAAATATTGTTCGTATTTTCAAAGCTGCATATTTTCTAAAATAATGGATCGATTTTCAAAAAGTAAGAATCGATGTATAGAGAATTAAAAGCCCTTTCTAATGACCCCCCACTTGACCCCCATTCCCATTTAAAAAAATTTGGGGGATGGCACCCCCACTTAGGGGGTTGAAGATTTTGCTATGCTTTTTGCGCCAAAAGTTGTCCCCCTCAGAAACAAACTTGAACTGTATTTGGATTTTGCCGAAAAGTTCATTACTACCCTGTAATGCCTTGCGGTACGTTTTCGATGGGCTACCCTGTATATTCTTATAATGTATAGAGTGCAGTTATAAGAAAGCAACAGTTGTGTCACTTTTTGTTTAAATAAAATTACATGAAAGAGATCCCGCTCTACAACCAACCCTGCACCAATTGCAGCCACCTCAACATGTCTGATCTCTAGTAATCTCAGTTAATTTGTACTTATTTAATGCTTTATATATTTGACTATACAATTAATAAAAAGTCTTTTTGAAGGAACATATAATTAATATATATTATCGTATTTTCTTTTTTATTAATACGAGTATTTATATTTCAAAATAAAGCAGATTGGTTTAAATTTGCCAAGCAGACATTTAAAGAGTCAATTACATAATGAGCAAGTTACATATATATATTTTAAATCTATAGGTAACCTTATAATCATATGATCATAGTGAAAATATTATAAATATCTTGGAAGTTGTTAGTTAATTAACTACTAAAATTTGACGAGCAAAATAAATGTCTTAAACGGTTGTTTGCTGCCGTGCTAAATCGTGACGTCATTTAATGTGATCGAGAATTGAGATCGAAATGAATAATATTGACAGGTCGGCCCGACAACATAAACATAATAAATAACAAGAATCTAGAGACAGCTAAATTCACTTTACTTCAAGACTCCCGGCATACACGTTTCCTTAAGCAGACCCTAAAGGGTCAGTCTTTTGATGAAAAAATTAAGTCAAATCGATTTTTCGCCAAGCTTTTGTTCAAAACTTATTTATAGTGAAGTTTCCGTGTAAATAGTGAAATTCTGGTTTCTTGTCTAGCTACATTTTGTGGCTTATTAAATATAAGTGTGTATCTAGATACCTATCTTTGAAATATTTGCGTCAATCAAACTCCATTAATCAATGATTGGTTCAACGCAATCTTTTGATCAAAATGATCATTGATTGGCCGTCTAGGGGCAACGATTAAGTTCCATCTCGTCGTCATGGAAATTGCAGAGTAGAGAGACGGCCTAGGTGCAAGTCGTGTCCTCGGTCTCACTAAATTACATCACAATACGTTTTTGATTACACTAAGTTTTACATACATTTAAATATCTAAAATTTGAAGAATTTAAGAAATTTATTTTTTTCTACTGTTAGGTGTCGGTTGTATAGATTACAATGTAGTTCTGAAGCAAATAAAATTTTCATGTAAGTTGCCTATTCTGTGCAGAAACAATAGGCAGTTATGTAATCTCCTTACTTCCATATTTTAATAAATATTAATATGATTGTACACTAAATTGTATAATGATCGCACGGATACTTAATTTATTGTAATTGACGTTATCGAACTGTGTTTTTAAAATATGTAGATTTGCACACACTTAATATAAATAGTGATTTTTGTACTGGCATTATTTAGTATAATGTCTATGTTATTTTATAAGTAATTATATTAATGATACATTTTTTATTATTATTTTTATATATTTGAAAGTAACACTGTACTCTCGACCTTTATGCATATTAATTAAAAGTCATTAAAATACAATTCTCAAGTAGACTAGGCGGTATCTGTTTTGGTTTGGGTGAATCGTATATCCACGGAGATTTTTGGCTTTTTGGCTTTCAAATATCACTAGAAATGAACATTTTTCTATGCGCATAAAAAAAAACGTGGGCTTAACTTTTGGCGGCACAAATTCGAAAAATGTCATATTTTTCTTCATATTTAATTATGTATCTTTTCAAGAGTTGATTCTAGGCGAAAATAGAAGAGGAAAAAAATGTTTGTAATTAAATATTTTACAAAACATTACTAGTTACAAATCGGAATTTTTTTGGGGTATTTAAATTGGCTCAAGAAAACTACATGTCATGTAAAATCATCATACCAAATTTCATCAAAATCGGTTCTATAGATTTTGCATAATAATTTTGCAATCCAGATTTTGAAGAAAAAATTGCAAATTTTCAAAATTTTGCACAGCAAAAACCAAGGTCCTTAGATACTTGAAAATTTAATCACATATCGAAGGGCTCTCAAGCTTTCAAACTTTTTTTCGAATCCGTCAATTAGGAGAGCTCTGGCGCTTGTTTAAACATTGGTCGAATTTTTGTACTTATAAACAATTAGAATAACTTTGTGAATATTCAATCAAATCAAATTTTTTAAAGTAGGTTTTAAAAGTTCTTGGAAAGACGCTTCTTTAAAAAAAAAAAAACAGATCGATTGGTCAATTAGTTACGTAGTTATAGCCGATCAAAGTTAACCGTCATTTACACTAAATGTACTGGGACATCCGGGCTAATTTTTCGAAAAATACCTTTGGTATTCCGAGTACTTACCAGGTCTAAGATTACAATACTTTTCTTCATTGGCAACCTACTTTAAAACGTGTTTAAAGTTATTTATGCAAGCGAGAAATTCAAGAAAATCGTACGGGTGGTGGTGGTGGTGGTGGAAGCAGAGAGCGCGGCCGCTTCGGCCTGCTCGAAACTGAATCGGCGAGTTCAAAACCGCGATGCGCTTAAAATTTTTTAATATCTCAACTTATAGAGGTCCGATTTTGATGATTTTTTTTTTAATTTTAGCGTATTTTCAAATGCCTATCGTTAATAATTATTGGTCTTTCAACAGTCCGATATTATTTATCTTTAAACTTCCTTTAATTATCAACTTTATTTTTGTCTTGTATCAAAGGTAAGTGGATAAACTTATATACTGTTTATCAAAGATCAAAAACAAATTTATTTAAATATTCTGAAATTGTTTAAGCAACAATTATTTTCAAAATATAACGAAAATTAGTAATATAATAAGTTAATTTCTCATTTGCTTATATTTTAAACAATAAATAATATTTGAAAAAAAAATTAATATCAAAAAAATAATATTTCTTTCATTTAAATATATTATTTCGTATTCAAAAAATACGACCTTGAAAAAAATAGATAGACGTATATACCGTTAGGAAAAGAATCTCTACCACCTGTATATACAGTGTTATTTTTTTAAAACCTGACATAGGCTAACTTTTTTATTTGAAGTAGTAGACTAGTTCTTCCGAATGCAAAGTTGTAGGAAATAACTTGATTAAGAAAAATTTAGAAATAATTTTTTCCGTTGCTGCCATTTAAAAAAATATCGTTTTAGTAGCTACTGCAGAAATCTGGCAACACCGGAAATAATTGTTTGTAAATTTTTCTTATTTCTTTTAAAAGAAGCGTATTTCCAAGAACTTCAAAAACCTGCTTTAAAAAATTTAATTTGTTTGAATATTCACAAAATTATTCTAATTGTTTATAAATACAAAAATTTGACCAATGTTTAAACAAGCGCCAGAGCTCTGCTAATTAACGGATTCAAATTTTGCAAAAAAAGTTTGAAAGCTTGAGAGCCCTTCTATATGTGATTAAATTTTCAAGTATCTAAGGGCCTTGGTTTTTGCTGTGAAAAATTTTGAAAATTTGCAAATTTTTTTCAAAATCTGGATTGCAAAGTTATTATGCAAAATCTATCGAACCGATTTTGATGAAATTTGGTGTGAAGATTCTACATAACATGAAGTTTTCTTGAGCCAAGTATAAAGGTCCTATACCCAATTTAAATACCTCAAAAAAATTCCCTAAAAAGTATTGTTTTTTAACCCCATTTTTGCGATTTTTTCGATTTTTACCATAATAATCATGATTTATCCGATTTGTAACTAGTCACGTTTTGTAAAAAAATTAATTACAAAAATTTTTTCCTCTTCCATTTTCGCATAAAATCAACTCTTGAAAAGATACATAATTAAATAGGAAGAAAAATATGACATTTTTCGAAATTATTTAACATATTGTGCCGCCAAAAGTTAAGCCCACGTTTTTTTTATGCGCATAGAAAAATTTTCATTTCTAGTGATATTTTAAAGCCAAAAATCTCCGTGGATATACGATTCACCCAAATATGGCTTTTTGAAACAGATACCGTCTGGACTAATGTGGGTATGATATAATTTGATTATATACGTATTTTTATTAACTAATTCCCAAATTAACAATAATACCTAATTATAGTGATGTAAATATACGGAAACCAGTTCTACAGATACATTATCAAAACTTAAAATAACCACGCATGAAGAACAGCATTATACATACTTACCATGGCATCATCCTTTGCTATAGCGTTTGTTAGTAATTTTGCAAATATCTCTTCTCCCACGGTATTATCTGACAAAGGCACAGCAGGTTTAGGGCCATGTATAACAAATTTGTCTTCTTCCAAAATCATTTTTATTTAATAAGCAGGAGGTACCTACTGAAGCGATTGAGATACCGTATCACACTATTCAAAATCTATCCGCTACTTGTTCGATTTAATATCTACTGCATGCAGTGGCGTACTGTTGTTGGCACGTTTAAGTGAAACCGAATTGAAGTTTTAATGATCATAGGATTTGGTGTTAGAAAACGAAGTTGTGACGAAGTAGTGGATATTTTTCAAGAATCATCAATCATGATGAATTATGAATTTTTCCCGGTTGGGAACGAATTTCTAAATCAACCGTTTCAAAAACTTTACAGCGTTTTCATAAAACTGGAGATGTTGTAGATCGACGAAAAAGTGGAAGACTAGTAAGCGTTACAAATGAAGAAAATTATTTGAATCTCATGTTAGATTTGGTGGAAAATCCAATAAATTCGATACAACAGAGGGCTTTAAATCATAATATGAATCGATATTCCATTAAAAAAATTTGCAAACGGAAAAAATTAAGTCCATATAAAATTCATTTATTACAAGAATTGAGTAAAGACGTAAAGACGATTATGATCGTAGAATCGAGTAATGGGAAGTTATTAAATAAATAAATTAATTAAACAAAAATGTCAATTTTGTCACCCATTCAGACGAATCTACATTTAGTTTAAGGAGGTTTATCGGGTACGGAGGTACGTCTAAAAGTCTAGCGAGAGTTTCTGTTCATTCGCTAGGGACTAGCACTTGCACTTGGCTGGCTTTGTTTGGATGCCTAAGCTTGAAATATACACCATATATCACACCTGCGAATGTCAAATAATACGCTACGTCGAGAACCGCGGCGTTGCCGCTATCACGCATATGGACGTTAAGTTAATCAACGACAGCAGTTTGAAGGAGAATTATTATAAATTATGTATCTTACAAGTACCTAATCGATTTCTACGAGCTGTCATACGGTTCATTAGATATCGGTTTCCTATTTATACAATTGCTGTAAAAACTGTTTGTCAATAGTTGCGCATTCTAAGTAGAAAGACCAAAAAAATCTACATTCTCATAAGACTCTGTACTAAATCGTGAAAAATAATTTTATTAATATCTCGTCTCTTAGGTATCCAAACTAGTCATAATTTTCCTTCATATTAATAAGCTTATATTATTTTTTTTATGAATATTAGTTCATCAATTCCAAATCAGATAAACCTCCTTAAACGGACACGTAAACCGATACCGATACACGTAGGTATTGGTCACGCAAAAATCCACATTGGATGGAGGAAGTTCACATCCAACGACCACATAAAGTAAATGTTTGGTTGTGGCATTATTGGTGGATACGTCATAGGACCCTATTTTATAAAGGTAAATTTGACCTCTGAACGATATTTATTACTTTGGCAAGAACTTAGACGGTTATTCCCGAACAATAATAATTCAAATTTACCGGCAGAACAAATATGGTTTCAATATGATGGGGCTCCTCCACATTTTGGATATGTGGCACGGACATATCTAGATGAAACTTTTCCTGAGTTGCAGGAAAGGATAGGGCATGAAATTTCCACTATTCCTCCCAACACCCTTTTAGATTCACTAGAAAATTTATTTATTGAGCGAATTCATTACTGTCAGAAGGTAAATGGTGAACACTTTGATCACCTTATAAAATAGAATTCCAAAGAAAATATTTTTTGTTTTCCTTCTTTTTTTTATTCTGGCATAACTATTGTTTTCATAAAACTTGAAATATCTAGAACATTCTAAAAAATACAGTTTATCGTTTCATGCATTTTTATCAACTCTGAACTATTATGCTTTTTTGTTTTCTGTAAAAAAATTAATAATTAAATTAAATCATATCCATATCCTCCACCTTCTGTTATTTTAAAATTAAGTATCAATAATTTGGGACCCCGAAAACGGTTAATTTAGGTACATGGTGGGTTATATGAATTTTGTTTAAAATTTCGAGAAGAATTGAAAAATGGAATAATGTACAAGGTGTTCCATTAATGAAAAAGCAGCTTTATTTTGTCATGACCTTTTGACTGATCCTGTATATTTAATTTTCCTTTATTTTAATAGATTTAAAAAACCCTGAAACGATTGTGTTTTATGATTTTTCGATATTTGTCTTACTTTAGGAGATAATCGACTGTTTCTATACGTATCGTCGACCCTGTATAATACCTATATTGTTGGAAAAGTGTTCTTTTCATCCGGCATAAAATTCAATAGGCTTCTACAAAAAAAAAAAGAAAGTCCGCAGTTCCTCGGAGCCGAAAATTTCAGTAAATTCAGTAAAAATTCTTGCTAGAGATTATGTTTTTACATATCCTAAAAATTCTTAAAAAAAAGTGTTACGGTAAATTTTGAAAAATACTGTAATTTGCTTTTATAGCAAAGCGTAGCTCTACCGCTTAGTGTGGTCATCAATTATTGTTTTATTGCCGTAACATAATGACAGGATAGAAATACTTATTGACAACTATATATTTAAGGATTTTTTCGACTGGATACAGGAAAACTGGTAACTAATTTTTGACTGGGCAAGCAATAGCAACTCGAATTTAGGATGCATATTGAAACACGATTGAAAAGATTGAATAATGGAAATATCCCGTACAACTTGTCTATAACCCGCCACTTTCTATGGTAGAAAAGCAGTCTCGATACCTAACAGAACGTTTAATTTTTTTTATAAAATCAGTAAAACAGTAATTATCATTAGTATAACACGTGGAGCTAATTATAATCAATAATTACTTGAATTATGTGCCCAACAAATGAAACCTATGCCGAACTTTCATGCGTTACGTAAAGCATTGGAAGAAGCACCAACTTCATTTAGTTATTCGGTCGTATTGTGCATTTAACGAGCAACAATGAAGTAAAAACGCATTCAACCGTAAAAGAATTCAATATTATTATATTTCTTACAAAGGACGATGTGAAATTGTCAGGAACGTGTGGAATGGAAGTAAACGTCCAGTGTAAGTGTCTATAAGAGATTTTGTTGGCTTCATAAACAACCACAGTATTTTTTTCTTTTATTTTTTTTTTTCTAGAGTTAATAGAGGAGCTACTAGATTAATTCCTTCCACCATTGTTAGTTCTATTTGTTTCGTGTGGATAATCCAGCTCTAATTTGTGTTTCTTGGTTACCCTAAGATGTGATGTATGTACTGGTACTTTTGGCTATTAAAAGTTTGTACTAAGTACTTGAAACATTTTATATGAAAGATTGTTTTATTAAACTCTGATGGCACTGGCGGGTCTGAAACCTTAGTGTCTGAAATCACTGTCTTTACACTGGTTAGAAGCACTATTATGTATGGCCTCCATGGAGTGCCAGAGGCTATGGAAATTGTTTGGGAACTTGTAGCGTGAAGCTGTGAGAACGTTGCGCTCGGTTTAGGTAATTTTTATCAGAATTACAACTTAAGTAATAAAATGCAGTAGTTGCGATACCAATTCTTAATTTCCTGTCGGGTACATACTTGGGCGATGTTGATAACGATCTTAAGTCTTGTTACTTGAATTGCTTTTCTTAGTCGACAGTCGTAAGGAGGATGCGAAGCGTTCTATGGAGTTCTCAAGGAATGCTTTGACTACTACAGTATGGAATCTCTGATTACTTAGTTAGGAGTACTCTGATTATAGATTAAAGGAGTCTCCTTTAGTTGTTATTGCTGCCTGTCAAGTACACAAGTGGGGCGAAAAAAAATTTTCCGCCTTTGGCTCTCGTCGTCGACGTCATGGAAGGAGTGTGAAAGGACCACGCTCAATCTTTATGGAAAATGGGTTTCGGCCAATTTTTCTGAAGCTTGGCAAATCGGTAGTTCTTAATACGCCGATGAAAAGTCTCAATGGGCACAAAGCCCAAAAACACCTCCAACCCTTTCGAATTCGACCCCCAAGGCCGAAAAGTTGATCATAAACCGATTGCCTTACCGTAATATTATACAGCCATAAAATGATTATTAGTAGCCTAAGTGAGAGAAGCAACTCAATGGCGAGAAGATAAAAGTCACTGTCTTAAGTCATTGGGTGGGCTACTAATAATCATTTTATGGCTGTATAATATCGCGGTAAGGCAATCGGCCTATGATCAGCTCTTCGCCCTTGGGGGTCGAATTATTCGAATGGGTTGGAGGGGTTTTTCAGCTTTGTGCCCATTGAGACCGAAACCCATTTTCCATAAGGATTGAGCGTGGTCCTTTGGAAACTTCGGTAAAAATTTAGAAACATCGGTGATTTTTTATAGAGAATTTTCAAGTTCACTCGCTCTGCTTCATGTTCAAAACGACCGCGATCTAAAGTTTTGGCTGGGTTATTAAAAAACAATTTGATTAAGGCTTTGTCACATTCTACAAGCTTGTAGCTTGGAAACATTTAATTATATTTATATTTATAAAGACTAGTGTTACATACTCATAAAAGTGTTTACACGCAGCCAAAAAAAAAAGAAAGTGGTAAATATAACAATACACGTAATGATAGCAATGAACTAACTGTTATACAAATATACATAAACAACATATAATTAAAATTACACACTAAGATTAATGATAAGATTCATATTCGAGCTACATTACTGTCAATAAATTGATCAAAACTATAAAAGGCATTTTTTATTAATATTTTTTTATCCTTGATTTAAAATTATTCTCATTAAGAATTTGAATTTAAAGAGGTATTATGTTAAAAAATTTGATGGCCCAATAATAATTAGTACCGACCCGCGTTTTAGTCAGTCTTAGAAATTTATTACATAAGTATGTGCTCTTTCGGGTATTATAAGAATGAGTCCCACTTCTGATTTCAAAGTTATGTATATGTTTTTTTACATAAATAAGACAATGAAGTATATATGCACAGGGTACAGTTAGTATGTTCAATTTGGAAAACTGCTCTCTACAATCATCTCCAAAACCAAGGTCAGAATGATTCTAATAATTTTTCTCTGAAGAGTAAAAACTTTTTTCATAGAGGGGGCATGACCCCATACTAAAATAGCATATGTTATGATGGAATGGATATAGCCATGATCAGCAAGCTTATGTGTATG